GCAACAGCCCCACCAATTGCCAGCAAATAAAGAAGGGGGATGGGAAGTCAGCTATGAGCTGACTTGAAGATAGTGTTTGTAGCTGCTCCTGCTATTCCAACCTTGATTAGCATCTCAAGTGGGCCAAAGAAACAAGAAATTTTCAACCCTTTGCACCTCATGTTACACATAAACTAATTACTAAACTTTTGCAGCAAACCAAAAAAATATATATATTATAATTTTTTGCTCATCTGGCCAAAAAAAAAAAGATATAATTTTGATTCATTCACATTGGACTGCTATTGTTGTGTTGGCCGTTGTCATTTTTTTTTATTTGACAGTGTAAAGGAAAAGAGGTCAGTGCCCCTGAATAAATAGTCAAGTATTGCATGTTTGACAAATTCTTGCTGCACACGAGAAAATCGCTGCGCTAGGATGAAAGCGCTGTCTAAAGAACCCAAGTGGTGCAGAAAGCTGCTCAGCATTGCTGTAGGCTTTTGCAGAGCCATCTTCCTCTTTAGGGTGAGAAGCATGGTGGTTTCTCATTTTCAAATAAAACTAACCAGAGCAAAGATGAAAGTATATGAGTCATTCCAGACATTTATAATGGCAGGCAGCAAGCTTTTCCAGATAGATAGATAGATAGATAGATAGATAGATAGATAGATAGATAGATAGATTATATATAGATATATATATAGATATATGGAGAGATAGTTGATAGATAGATATATAGATATATGATAGATAGATAAATGATAAAGATAGAGTTTGAGAAAGGCCTTGCAAATTATCACATTGGGCTTCTTATAAACACAAAGGCATAAGAGTAACAGGAGCAGTTGAGTTAAATGTTGAACTCGAAGGCTGATTTCAACTGGCTGCATTTTTGTGATATCTCATCAAATTTAAATTGACTTCCAGATTTTTTTTACTTTTGTGCTCTAGAAAAAAACATAAGATACACAATTATTCATGAATAAATACACGCCTTCCGAAGTAGAGAAACTTGGAAGTAAACACTTAAATCCCCCACGGAGTTCTCAAAGGGTGGTCTAAGATAGGTCTCTTCTAGCGAAAAGCTACAGTGAAGCAGAAGCTCTTGTTCCAGCACTGCCCACCTCTGTCACTGCCCACCTCTGTCTTGGCTCTCAGTTGTTTAAAAAAAAAAGTTTTTATTCAGAATAAAAGCTAAGAGTATAAACAAAATGTGCCAAAAAATGTACCAAGCTTTACCCAGGACATTGTAAACTCAAATTTTCACAATGATATGTTCTTTTTGTTTGTTTTATTTTGTTTTTATTTGTCTGTATTGTTGAAAGTATTACAGATATCTCCTTTTATCCCTTCATTAATCCCCTCCATCCTGCCCCTGCCCCCTTCCATGCCTCCTTCACACTGTTGTCTGTCCATGGGACATGCATATATGCATGTAAGTTCATTGGCTAATCTATCTTCTTTCTAATGAGTTTATATTTTTCAGTCTTCAATTCCTACCTGCAACCATTTATCCTCTGGAAGTAGGTGATTCCCACAATAACCAGAACAACCAAGAAGATAGAGGCTTTCAGATAGAGTATGATCAGTAATTGTGACACTGGAAATATCACACCTTTAAACAGAGGCAAAACAGACAGGTTAAGGACTTATTTCAAGGATTCTTCTAATAAACAATTTAGAGCCACTAGTTTAAAAGAGCCCTTTAAAATAGTCCTAAAAGTTCAGATTATCATAATCAAAACACCTTCTAGATTAGAATTAGAATTTTGTTAATGTATCACTCTTTTATGACAGTTTGGAATCATGACTGTATTTTACACATAGTTGCTTTAATTATTTTCTGAATGAATAAGTGCAAGTTAGCATTTCTAATACTTCCCAATTTTATAATTTTTTTTTTTAAAAAAAGAAATATGCTCTAGCAAGTTTGGCTCAGTGGATAGAGTGTTGGCCTGAGTACTGAGAATCCTGGGTTCAATTTCAGTTAAGGGCACCTGCCTCAGCTGCAGGCTTGATCCCTGGCCCTGGATGGGGTGCATGCAGGAGGCAACGAATTGATGTGTTTCTCTGTCTCTCCCCCTCCCTTCCACTCTCTCTAAATCTTCAGATGAGAATTAATTTTTTTAAAGAAATATACTTTTTGATTTATTGTGTAAATGTTACTTTGGGGGTCATTATTCTTAATATTTTTGAGACTAATAATACTTTGCACACAGTGAGGTGATTTTGTCACTGAGTTGCTATAATTCCCCCTTTACAGGGGCATTTTATGCCTTCCTTTCATTTATTCATCTGTAAAATGCCCCAAGGAATTGTTCAAAAGATAAAATGGGGCCAATTAGGACCATTATTCTGAAGTTTTTTCTTTTATGAAAATGAGAGTCAAAGAGAGTGTGTTCTGATTCTTGGCTCCAAGAGGTCAGGTCACCCATTAAAAACCTGCTCAAATACTAAATTAGAACGCTGTCAGACAATCTCCTAGGCACAGTAAGGGAAGAAGATGAAGACACATCCCAACCCTCAAAAAGACACAATCCAATTGGGAAAGTCAGATCCATACAAATGAAAAGATAACTTATAAGAGAACAAACAGTGCTAACTGAGTATTATAAATTATAAGTTATATAAGGAATAAGAAAGCTTAAGCAACTCTAATTGGGAGGTCAGGATGAAGTAGGATTTGAACTGGGCCTCATTGATAACAGGATTAATTAGGTTAGGAGAAAAAAAAACTTTTCAAGAAAAAGAAACAATTTAAGCAAAAATTTGAAAATGAGAGAACAACTAATATTTGGAGAATAGAGTGATATATATATATAGAGAGAGAAATGAAATCTGTGATTATTTGAACCTAATCCTGCAGTCATTTGTATGTGTCAGGTACTGGGCCAGACTCTGAGGATATACAAATGAAAGATGTGGTTCCTATTCTTAAGGAACTTAGAATGTACTGGGAATCAGAGAAGTGGAAAGTCCATTACAGGACCATGAAAGTGCTCACACAGAGGCATGCAAGAAGTATTTGGTGAGTACAGAGTAGAACAGTTAACCAATCTGTAGGACAATAAAAAATTATCCTAGAACATATATCAAACCAAGTCTTAAAACCTCAATAGGAATTGATCAAATGGATTGGAAGAGAAGAGGTGGGAAAAGAAGTGCATTGTAGAGAAGTAGAAATTGCATGAAAAGGAGAACAGAGCACTAAAAGAGTATTCCAATTTTGAGGAACCAAACAAGGCCCACATGCATGAGGTGCAGGTTGGAAAACAGCCAGCTATGAAGCTAAGAAGAGCAGCAGATAGAGATTGGCACCCCTGGGGTTAACTTTCCATGAGGCAAAGAGAAGCCACTGGGGGCATTAAAGGAAGGGAGTAGCACGTTTTTCATTTTAGAAAGGTTATTCTGACAACAATGTAGGAGATAAATTGGAGGAAGGTAAACTAGGAAGCAGAAGTCTGTCATAAGGACCTTGCAATAATCTGGGTGAGAGATAATTATGTTCTCAACTAAAGCAGTGGGGAGAAAAAGAAAGGTCCAGATTTAAGAAAGAATTTTAAGAAATAAAACATAGTAACTGATTTTGAATATTGGAAATAAAGAGTTATATATAAATTATACGTATAATTTTCTGACTTGGGTCATTTATCAAAATATAGGTGCGGAGTTTTTAAAAGGCTAGAGGAAAGGATTACTATTTTATGAATATGCAAGTTGAGGTATTCTGATGCATCCAAGTGAAGCTGTCCTGTTGAAAGTTGTTTTTGATGGTGGTATAACTAAAGAGGAAACCTGGGCTAAATATACACATGTGATAGTCAGGAATTAGGCAATGGTTGAAGCCGTGTATGAATGAGATTGCTCAAGGAATAAGGGGAATGGGGAAAAGAGAAGGCATATAATGGAACCCTGAGAAATGTCTTCCTTTGTGGGAATAGATGAAAAAGAATCTACTTCAGAATATTAAGAAGTTAATTTAAAGTTAAAGAAAAGGAACCAACTGAAAATGGCAGGATGACAGATGAGCAGGGCAAAGAGACCATATGAAATACCATAAAGAAGCCAATTATTAACAAAGAATGACAATTTTATATAGTATTTAGCATCTGGCACATCTTTGGTGCTTTATATTATGTGGCAAAGAGAAACCATTGTTCAGAAGATACAAGTAAGTCAAAGAGTAGATGTGAGGTAACATGGAGGAGACCATGAATATAGACTCCTCTTTTTAAAATTTTACAGGTGAGTAGAAGGCAAGAACTAAGAGTTTGAGGAAGTCATAGCATCTAGTTTTTAACTTGGGAGAAAAACAACTATTTTACATAATTAGCCTTATAGAAAAGATATGTATACCATAAGACTGAACAAAAGAGGGCAAAAACTATTAGTGAACCAAAGCTTTAAGGTAATAGAAGGACTTATTTCAAAGAACTTAGAGCAATGATTCTCAACCTTTCTAATGTCGGGACCCATTATTACAGTTCCTCATACTGGTGACTCCCAACTATAAAATTATTTTCTTTGCTACTTCATAAATATAACTTTGCTACTGTTAATGAATCGTAATGTAAATATCTGTGTTTGTCCATGGTTTTAGGCAACCGTGCTAGTGGCTCTCAACGGTAGTTTGGCTCTCAATTTGCTGTAGAGTCTTTACATACAATTACTTGAAATTGATGAATTGTATATAAATTAGATCTCAATAAAGCTATTGAAAAATAAGCAAATATATATGAGAGATGGGGAATAATTTATAGGATATGATCATATTTTAAATTCTACTATTATATTTTACTAGAGGCCCAGTGTACAAAATTGGCGCTTGGGGGGAGTGTCCCTCAGCCCAGCCTGCACTATCTCCAATCTGGGAACCTCTCGAGGGATGTCTGACTGCCCATTTAGGCCCGAAAATATGTACAGCTTAGGAGTTCAATTTTTCTTTACCTTGTGTTTGGTTCATTCATAATCTTTTATGATTGAACATCAAGTTTACTACTCAGAAAGAAACAGTTACTTACTTTGATTCAGTTCTAAGGACTGACTCCAGTTGCCAGTCTCATGGGAGACAGAGCAGGACACAATAGACACATTGCCATCCGCCCAGTGGCACGTGCTCTGGACAGTCACTGTGCCATTGCCCCAATCTTTGTGCTCAGGGACACAGTCTCCCGCTGGGGTCCAGGAGATCCGGGCAGCCGGCCTCCCCGCAGCTGCCTTGCACACCGCAGTTCTATTCTCACTTTGAAACAGAGTCATCTCAGGGGCCACTGCAGGGATGAAGAAGTAAATGCTCTAGTCCTAACACATTAGACATGGAATTTAGAGAGGAATTCCTTTAAGTCCCAACTCTGGTTTTCTGAATCACCCCAATGTACAATGTTCCTTACCTAGCACTCGGAGGTGATAGTTATTTTGGAAATTCCCATCAGGTGTTGCCACTTCACACCTGTAATGCCCTTCATGAGTGATGGCCACTGGGTCAATCTGAAGGGCAGGAATCTGGTCAGGTCTGTCTGGCCAGGTCATTCTCTTGTCAGTGCAGTTTGTTTCTATGATCTCTTTTGTGTATCTCCTGTGGGTTCTGATGCAGAAAGGCTTGTCTCGGAGGGCTATTTCCCAAATTGTTAAAAGCGTATTTGTCAACACGATAGGAGGGCAAGAGAGGTAAGCCTTTGTATCCACCAGCACAGGCAGGGAAGTATTAGCTGGACACACACACACACACACACACACACACACACACACACACACGAAGAATAAAAAAGAAAAGCTTGGTAAGAACTTCATGTGTTATATTTTCTACATCATATTACATAAAGTTGTACTAGCCCATTACTTGGCTGGTGGCTTTATTCCAAAAATATGAGACTTAAAAAATTAAACATTCACAATATGTATATAACATGTTAAACCTAATTCAAAGATTAAGTCATTTTCTCCTATATTAGGTTATTAGGTAAACAGTGTATGTTACACATGTGAGAAAATTTTTAAGTATTTTGAAATTAATTCAGAAGTTCCAATATCTGTGAAAAAAAAACAAGAAAATGCAATTCTCAACTAAAAGAGAAACACAATGAAACTTATAGTTGGAGACTATTATATTTATTTTATACCTCATGTTCCTTGGGGTAGAAAATGAAGTAATTAGTGATGTGCTTGTATTCTTCTAAGTTTTATGAGAGATAATAAATCAGTAATATCACATTACTGTGTATTACTGAATGCCTATCCCTGAGGGTGACACTTCAGATAAAAATAAATATGAAAATGTTATAAAAAAAAATAACTAAGATGGCATTCGAGTTGAGCAAGTTAGAGCCATGGGCTCTTGTGGGCCCAGAGTGAGCTCCTCGCCTTTCTTTGGCCTTGGCCCCCTCAAAGCTAGTGAATGGAGGCAATGAGTTTCAAAGTGTGTAACCCTCCCAAGAAGCCTACCACTTCAGTCATAGGCCTGTGTGACTCAGCGCCTGGACCCTTAAGTGAGAACAAAAATGGGGAGATAAAGAAACAACACCCAGCCAAAACCGGTTTGGCTCAGTGGTAGAGCTTCGGTCTGCGAACTGAAAGGTCCCAGGTTTGATTCCGGTCAAGGGTATGTACATTGGTTGCGGGCACATTCCTAGTAGGGGGTGTGCAAGAGGCAGCTGGTCGATGTTTCTCTCTCATCGACATTTCTAGCTCTCTATCCCTCTCCCTTACTCTCTGTAAAAAATCAATAAAATATATATTTTTTTAAAAAAGGGAGGCATTGCCAGAGAATGCACTAAAAGAAAAGGAGGTAAGCAATATTTCAGAAAATGAATTCAGGGTAAGGGTCAAACAATTCTTAAACCAGCCTCACCACCACCCAGATTGGCCTCAGACACCAATCTGGACCCTACAGCCACTCCAGACAAAGAACTGCTACCTTAGATGCAGACCTACAGACACTGGGACTCCAGCCTCCTTTGCCATGGGCTCCTGTGAACCCCAGAGTGAGGTCCCCTCCACTGGCCTGCTTCTTTGGTCCTGGACTTTGTGCATCCACATGAATGGAGGCAATGAGTCTCAGAATGCATGACCCTCCCACCAAGCTCACCACTTCAGTCACAGGCCTCTTATGACTCAGCACCTGGACCCTTAAGTGAAAACAAAAATAGGGAGACAAAGAAACAACTTCCAAAGGGAGAGAAAAAAAAAGGGAGGCATTGCCAGAGAAGTCACTAAAAGAGAAGGAAGCAAGCAATATTTCAGAAAATGAATTCAGAGTAAGAGTCATACAATTCTTAAAAAAGCTAGAAAATCAACAACTTATGTAAGACTCAAGAGGAAATAAAGAATGAAAGAACTATGATAAAAACACAATGGAAGATTTCAACAGTAGACTAGAAGAAGTGGAAGACTAAATTAGTAACTTAGAAGACAGGGCAGAAAACACACCTACTCTAAACTGCAATTAGAGGAAAAAAATTAGAAAGCAGGAAAAAAGACTAAGGGAGCTTTGGGACTACATATGATAAAGCAAGATACGTATAATGGGGGTGCCAGAACTACAAGAAGAGGAACAAGGATTAGAAAAACTATTTGAAGAAATAATTACAGAAAATTTCCCTGAGTTGGGGGGAAAAAAGTCACATAAGTACAGAGACTCCCAAACAAGATACAGTGGTGCCTCACACAACAAACTTAATTTGTTCCAGGAGCAAGTTTGTTATGCGAAAAGTTCGTTATGTGAAACGTGTTTTCCCATAATACATGTTAAAAAAAATAATTCGTTCTGTAGCATAAAATATGCTAAGATGACATAAAAAAGATAAATTTTTTGTTATTATTTTTATTTAGATACATCTAAAAACATAATTTAAAAAAAAGACAAACACATTTTTTTAATTTTAAGACAGACTAAGTAGAGTCTACCGAAAATGGATGAAGATGTACCGAATCTTGCACATCTTCATCCATTTTCTGCTTTTTGGCAGATGGTTTCATGAAAAACCTGTCCAAAGTCGTTTGTTTTTCTCTTTTCTCCAACATCTGCCGGAAATAACAGACAAGAGTATCGGAGTAAAGATCGTTGATCCTGTTTGCTTCAGCTGAATCCGGATAGTGGGCATTGGTAAACTCCTGAACTGCTTTCCATTTGACCAGGATGTTCTTGATGTCAGCAGTTGGGATTGGTTGATTGTTTGATTGTTGCTCCTTGTTATCAGATGACGCTTCCCTTTGAGCATTGTCCTGTTTCATTTCAACAGAAATCACCTTCCTGCTTTTTTTAGATGCCATGATATAAAAAAAATATTGAGTTTAACTTAAAAGAACGACTGCCGTGATACGTGCGTGATTTAATTCGTAATGAAGAACGATTGCCGCGATAGGTGCTTAAGTTAAGCGCAGTGACTAACGACTGCCTGCAGTGCCTGCGCGGAAGGATGCAATACATCGGCAGCGATCCTGGAAGCTCGGGCGAAGCAGTCATGGAAGCTCGGGCAAAGCGGTCGTGGAAGCTCGGGCGACTTCGTTGTGTGAAACGAAGTTCATTGTATGAATCATGAAATGAAGTTCGTTGTGTGCAGCGTTCGCTGTGCGAGGCGTTCTTTATGCGAGGCACCACTGTAATTCCTAAAACCCCCAAAGAGACACATCAAATTGGAATGGCAAATGTTAATGGAAAAGTATTTTAAAGGCTGCTACAAAGAGGTTGAGAGTTGCCTACAAGAGATTTCCTATTCTGTTATCTAATGATTTCTCAACAAAATATCATCAGGCCAGAAAGGAATGAAATGAAGTATACATGATGCAAAGCAAGAGACTGAATCCAAGAATACTCTATCCATCAAGGCTATCATTCAAAATTGTAGGAGAAATCAGGAGCTTCACAGGCAAAAAAAAAAAAAAAAAAAAGGGGGGGGGGCGGGGGGCAAAGGGAGTTTATCATTACCAATATAGTAATGCAAGAAAGGCTAAAGGGACTGTGATTAAAAGAAGAAATTGAATGGGAAGAAGGAACACAGACACAAAGAATAAAAATGACTACAAATAATACCTAACTACACTAATAAAAGAGAAAGATGCAAATTGACTGTACCTCCTCTACACCCACCATCCAATCAGGAGTGAGCATGCAAATTAACCCAACAAAGATGGTGGGTTAATTTGCACATGCAGGAGTGGAGCAAAGACTGAAGCCTGAAGACTGAAGACTGAAGAAACCTGGCTTTTCCACTGCGGCCAGAGCAAAGGCCTGGGTCCCGGGTGCTGGAGGAAAATTAGTGCCGGCAGCCAGAGGAAGGAAGGTCTATTGCACGAATTCTCATGCAATGGGCCTCTAGTCAATAATAATCATAAACATAAGTGGATTAGATGTTGAATGAAAAGATATCGAGTGTTCTAAATATATAAGAAAAGATGATGCATATATATGCTGTCTACTAAAGACCCATCTTAGAATGAGGGGCTCACACAGACTAAAAGTGAAGGGATGGAAAAATATTTTTCAGGAAAATGGAAATTTTTAAAAAGCTGGGGTAACAATACTTATATCTGACAAAACAGACTTCAAAATGAAGGCCATAACAAGAGATAGGGAAGGCCACTTCATAATACAACAAGATGATTTAACTCTGGCAAACATGTGTGCACCCAATACAGGAGCTCCCAAATACATTAAATAAAAACTTCTGGAAGATATCAAAGTAAAGGGCAACAGCAATACAATCATAGTAAGCATATTAATACTCCATTGAAACCACTGGATAAATGCTCTAGACAAAATAATAATAATAATAAATAAATAAATAAATAAATAAATAAATAAATAAATAAAACAGCAAAGAAACAGCAATCCTAATGACTCACTAGATCAGATAGACTTAATTGATATCTTCAGAGCATTTCACCACAAAGCTACATAATATGCATTCTTCTCAAGTGAACATGGGACATGTTCCAAAATAGACCACATGTTAGGACACAGGCAAAGTCTCTCCAGATTCAAGAAGATTGAAATAATATCAATCATTTTCTCAGATCACAATGGCATAATGTTAGAAATCAACTAATGTAAAAACAATAAAATAAAAAAAAATTCAAACACTGCCCCAGCTGGTTTTGCTCAGTGGATAGAGCATAGGCCTAAGGACTGAAGGGTCCAATTTTAATTCTAGGCAATGGTGCATGCCCATGTTTCAGGCTTGAACCCTAGTGTGGGGTGTACAGGAAGCATCCGGCCAAGATTCTCTCTCATCATTAAAGTTTCTCTCCCTCTCTCCCTTTCTCTTCCTCTCTGAAATCAATAAAGATATATTTTTTAAAAGAATGTGACATTTTTAAATAATTCAAACACTTGGAGTCTAAATAGTATGCTGTTAAACAATGGTTGGGTTACTAAAGAGGTAAAAGAAGAAATTAAAAACATCCTGGAAATGAATGACAATGAAAACAAAACAATCCAAAATCTATAGGACACAGAGAAAGCAGTCCTGAGAGGAAAGTTAATAGCATTACAGGCCTACCTCAAAAAATAAGACAAACTGGTAATAAATTATCTAACTCTACAACTTAAAGAATTAAAAAGAGAGCGATGAGAGAAGCCCAGAATGAGCAGAAGGAAGGAGATAATAAAGATCAGAGTAGAAATAAATGGCATAGAGACCAAAAAAACAATACAAAAGATTAATGAAACCAAGAACTAGTTCTTCAAAAAGATAAACAAGATTTATGAACC